GGTTTTTTTTGTTTGTTTCTTTTCCCCTCCAGGAGAACAGTCACTACACAGATGTCGAGGATGCCAGCCTACAGTAACCAGGTACAACTAGCACAGCTCACATGCCACTCAAGTCCCAAACAGTTGCCTGATGGATTCTGTGCAAAAGTTCGCAGGCTCTATGTGCTTTTAACTGCTCTGGGAGAGGCTCTTTTCTACAAGCCTTGTGAATTTTCCCAACACTACACCTGACTTTTCAGCTGGGCCTTGGGTTTACCCTTAGTACCATCTCCTAAGCCACCTGCTTGAGGTTCAAGGAAAGTGACACTTTTTCTTTCCTTCCTCTCTCCTAGTAGCCCATTCAGAACAGGAGTGAGCAGTGGTGTGAGGGAAGGACAAGGCTAAACCCTGTAATGGCATGTTGAGCCAGATGAGCATAAAATGCAGGGCTGCTGTCATCTCTGCCTGACATTCAAAAGGAGAAACAGACTGACATCTTCAACCCACCTGTAAAGCAAAGACAGAAAACCAGTCATCCAAATGGATCCCCACTCCTCTCTCCAATGGATTCAGAGCCCTACTGCCAGCATGGATAGCAGACAAACCCCACACACACACCATGATCCTCACTGGCCAAGATGCTGACAGAGGCTGCATTAACAAACAAATCAGGGACATTTTAGAGCTTTTCTTAGGGGTAGGAGAAAGAAAAATAAGAGAGCAAAGATGTTTGCTCCTGTGATACACAGGACCAGTACGTTTGTTAACTGGGGGAAAAGACTCTCCTGCTCTGAACAATCTATGGTTTCAAACGTATGATCACGTTCATGAATGGGGCATGCAAGGAGCTTCCCATTCCTTGTTTGGTTTTCATCCTGTCACAGTCACCTTGGGTGCACAGTCACTTCCATGTGTAAGGGAATGTGTAGCGTGCCTCTTGCTGTGTGCTGGGCTCTTAGAAACTGCATGAAAAGAGAAAGAAAGGAAGCCATGTACAGAAGAACAAGTGATTTTGAGCAAGATAAGCAAAGCACCTTCAATCTTCAGGTATCCTAGACATCTGGTCTCCTAGACATGTGACTGACTATAGATAAAGACGAGGCAAGCAAACAGTCTTTGTGAGGTGGGTAATGTGAGAGCCTTTACTGGACCAACAAGTCAAACAGTTCAGGGATGTGATCAAACTCTTGCTCTCTACCCCAACACCCATACCGTGTTCAGTGCACAACTCCATACTCTATAGAAGAATGTTCACACATGTCCCCTTGCTCCAGCCTCACTCTGGTTTTCCTGGGTCAGGTCAGGGAGTGGGAGAAGGAGGAAATCGTTCCTTATACCAAAGGCTGCATCCAACATCGCAGTGTATTGTGATGAGTCCAAGTGATGTTGTAACTCACCTATGTGTAAAAGATTTGTAAAGATTAGTGCCAAGAGTGCTGGGCATGAGGGAACTAGAGTATTCTGTCCCTACCCGATCCCCACATTCAAACTACTCTTGACCTACTCACAACCCTAAGAACAAAGGATAGCAGCAGACATAGTGCAGTTTTCTCAAGGGAAACATTCTATAATGCAGACCTTTCGCATGTCCAGCTATTGTGATTTCACAGCTTCCCTCCTTCATGGGCTTGTTCCTAGTTTCTAGTTTCTGAGACTGGTGGAGCCAAGAATTTCAACCACTCAAACTGGACACCCCTTCATACGTATCTGGTGCTTTGCCCTCAGAGAACTGCCCAAGCCTTCTCCCTGACCAAGCTCCAAAACAAAAGGTGAAACAAACAGAATCATAGAGATCTGCTAGACCAGTATTCGGCAGGCCTCCTGGTTTCTACTGCAACGCTCAAAACCTGACTTCTTATACAGTTTTTACATGGGGGTGTTAAGGGGAAAGGGAAAGCAAGTCAAGGGCAGTGTTTCCCCCTCCAAAAGAACTCAGTTTGTAGTGATCATGACTCCTGAAGCACAACATTTGACTTGCATTTCTTAGTTGAAAACAACTCAGATAAAGGGGGCGGCTGTTCTTTTCTTTTTCTTTTCTGCTTTTTTTGTCTTCGTTTCAGCTTTCCTTCCATCCTTCTGTCCTTTTTTCCTTCCTTCCCCTCTTTAGTTCCTGTTCAGTTTGTCCACTGTGTTGTACTGAGCTGTTGTAGAGTTTTTTTTCTAGGCTTTGAGAGATGAGCTGCAGTTTTTGCTATGAACTGACCATGATGCTGAGGTTTTGGAGGAAGGTAGCCTTGTACATAAAAATCCTGTAAAATAAAAGAGGGAAATCTACTCAGACTCTGGTGTCTTCTCTTACCCTTTCAGGATCACCAACCAGTGTTTCTCAGTTTTTTTCCCTTCACAGTTTCATCTTCGCCAATAAGGTTCATGTTAGTCAGAACAAGGCAAATTCTATTGGGTTGCATAAAACCACTGTAGATTTCAGCAGGATATAAGCATGTTTCATCCATAAGCCTATTTTCTATTCTATGTGAAGATCCATTTGATGCAAGAGAGCTGAAAGGTCCTATCCCCAAGCCATCTGGACCTTCCCTGAATCTCAAGGCACAAATGTACCTGCCCCAGCCCCAAGAGATTAGAAGAGCCAAACAGCTGTTCCAACATACACCAACCTACAGTGGTCACAAATAATGCCTAAGCACAGTGCTCTCTGGCCACATCCCCCATCCCTCCTCACCCGAGCAAAACATGCTGACTCCACTCCAACAGACAATTTACTTTCCCCAAAGGAATTCTGAGATGGCCAGCACTGACTATTTTCAGGCTCTTCACAGAACAGGACAAAGCATGCGAAATGCAGTAAAGAGTCCAATCTGTAAAGACTGGCAAGTGACCTTTGAATTTTTAATTTCCTAATCAGACAAGTCTTTGTAGTTACACTATACAACACTAGGGGGCCCAATGGATCCAGCAACAGTATATCTATTAGGCCTGTGGGAGTAGGCAGCTATTCAATCCAGCTTCAGATCCGGCCACTTTGGATGCCAGCAATCCAATCCGGAGCTCCGGACTGGGTTCCTGCTTCAATCCGGCTCAGATATCCAGCCATAGGGTATATTGGGGAATCAATGAAATATCTATAACTTTGTTGTTTTTTGTCTGATTTGGATGAAACTTGCAGGGATGGTAGCCTTTGCTGAGAGCATGCTGCCCACCATGTTTCAAGAAGCTAAGTGCAGGGGCTTGGGGGGAACCGTTCCCCAAGTTCTTGAAAGCAAAACTCATATCACGTGCATGTGTTACACCCCTCCAGGTTTCATCCAAATCAGACAAAAAACAAAGTTATAGATATTTCATTGATTCCCCATTATACCCTATGGCCAGATCTCCGAGGCAGCTCCGAGGCTTTTCCAAACCGGTTCAGAAAGCCTAAAGAAGCCAGCACTTCAGATCCGAAGCACGGTCCAAAGCCTCCTACCGTCTCAATATCTAGGCTACTGGTTATAATTTAAGCAACACAAGAGCCTGTCTTTTCTGTGTGCATTTCAGTTCCTTGATGATAATATCATGAGAAGATCAAGGATTGTATCATTTTTACATTTTTCTCATGGTTTCCTGAGCTTAAACATTTAGGAAAGCAAGAGTTTAGATACTGAAATACTACAAAGATACTCATCTAGTCTGGAAGTTAAGTGACCAACTTCCAGAAACAACCAAAATCACTACTCAAAATGTTGTACTCCTCGTCTGTCTATCCTAGTGTTCTGTCTTTGACAGCAGAATAGGGGGATGTGCTAGGGTGGGTTAAGGGAGAAGCATAGAGTATGGGGTCAGGGAAAGAAGGGTTCCTGGCTATACATGGGGGGAGGAAGAAAATGGAGGATCATGGACAGAAAGAAATTCATGTAAGTGAAAAAGACTCTCTGGTATGAAGGAAGGGACTTGTCCAGCTCCAAGGAAAAAGGAGGGAAAGAGATTGCAGCTTTGATTGCCCCATAGTATAGTACTTAGGACAAAGGAGATGTGGGTTCAAGTCTTGCATAGCCTGGACACATTCTCTAACTAATACACTGTTTATAGAGAAAGACCTTGTTATTGAAGTCAGTGCTGGCTTTTAGATAGATGTGTTCACTCCTGCAGATGTCTCCCTGCTCTGGTCATAAGTTCTGCTAAGATGTCTTAACTGGTCAGAAGGGAGCAAAATTCAAACTAAGCAATTCTAACTAAGAGCTTAATTCTTCCTGGGCAACAGAGGATCCATCTCTGCCTACTGAAATGAATGGAGGTCCTGCAAGGCAAAGTAGAATGAACTTCTGGAGATATACTTTGTTTCTACATAGGCAAAGCAGATTACCTGTCTGTGTCCGGACACAGCCTGGAAAAAAAGCAGTGATTAAAACTGGAGATGTCTTAGTAGCAAAGTGGAACCCAAGTGTTAAGCAAGTCATGGTAGAGATGGATGTAATGTGGCAAAAGTCTGATGTTTTACTTTGCTTGAAAGAGTCTGAGCCACATGTTTTAGCCTTTAATGACTGACTAAACAGTAGGGCTGTGCAAAGCTTCGTTCTCTGATTCAATTCAGTGGAGATACAGCCCAATTCAGTGGCCAAATCTCTGAATTTGAATCGAATCAGAGGACCCTTTAATCTCTCCTAATCGAATCGGAACACTCTGAATCAATTTGGAGAGATTAGGAAACGTTCAGAGATTCAGACATAGAGACAGCTTTCAATGTTTTTTCTATATACCTCTAGATACCAGGCACGGTTTGTGAACACTGCGATGCTGGGACACATGGAGTGTCCCACAGAAGCATGGGGGGGCTCCCCAGCATGCTTGGTAGCACTTCTGGTCCACTTCCAGGTCCACCAGGAAGCATTTCCTGCACCTTCCTGGCTCAGCAACTGGTGCCTCGTGGGTCGGGGTGGGGGCACCCAGGGTCCCCCCACAGCTGATTGCCAAGACAGGGAAGTGTGGGCCTCCAGCACACTCCCCAGTGGACCCGGAAGTGGACTGGAAGTACTTCTGTTCCACTTCCGGGTTCACCACTGAGCACGTGGGGGGCCCCCCACTCCTGTGGGATGCTCCAGGCACCCCAGCATCACAGCATTCACGAGCTATGCCTGGTACCTTGAGGTATGTAGGAAAAACATTTAATGCTGTGTCTATGGCTGAATTGCTGATTCTCCAAATCAGCATCGAATCTTTAGATTCAGATTCAGCTGAATCAAATCAGGAACAGTGATCTGAATCAACAAGTCAAATCACTGATTCAGGCCAAATCTGAATCGAATAGGGCCCACTTCACACACCCCTACAAGACAGTCCATCACAATCACCATCTCATTAAGAAAAGCTGCACAAAGCCTAAATAAATACACACTCCAGGTTTCTTTTCTTTCAGGGTACCTGCACTCTGGATGCCTTTGTAACTAGTGCTATGGCAACTGGGTGGACAGTGGAACCTAATAAGAGCTATGCAATGGAACAGAACAAGACGGGGCATTTAATAATGCACAATGACTACTTACATGCATAAATTTGGGGCCTGATTCTTCAGTCACATATCAGAATAAATCAAGCAGGTTTGGTAGTGTCCATTGGGATTGTGCTGTACTGAGCCTTTTGATAGTTGGTGTTTCTTTTAAAGCTGCAGCAAGCATGTGATTAGGTAAGAATCTCAACTTTCATTTCTTTACAAAGTCAGTTTCTGCCCTTCATCTTCCAGAGAAATGCTTGAAGGTCTGACTAAAGTACAAACTAGAGCCTCAGAACTCAGCAGGTAAGTGCAGATAAGGCAAATATTTCTTATTTATTTAAAACAAAAACCGTCATGATCCATAACATACTTTGAATTATGGAATCATACAAAATTAGGGTTGTAAGAGACCTCAGGAGGTCATCTAATCCAACCCCCTGCTCAAAGCAGAACCAGCCAAAGGTTTGTCTAGCCAGGTCTTAAAAACCTCGAAGGATGGAGATTCCACCACCTCTCTGGGTAGCCCGTTCCAGTGTTTTACTACCCTCCTAGTAAGAACTTTTTCCCTAATATCTAACCTAAACTGACCTTGCTGCACCTTGAGACCATAGCTCCTTGTTCTGTTATCTGCCACCACTGAGAACAGTCTAGCTCAGGGGTGGGCAAAATGCGGCCCGCGGGCCAGATGCGGCCCACCAAGCCATTCTATCTGGCCTGTGAGGCCCCTAAACAATTTGAAAATTAATATTATTCTGCCCTGGGCTGCCTGTCATGCAGCCCTCAATGGCTTGCCAAAACTCAATAAATGGCCCTGCACCCAAAATAATTACCCACCCCTGGTCTAGCTCTATCCTCTTTCAAACCCCACTTCAGGTAGTCAAAAGCTGCTATCAAATCCCCTAAGTATCCTCTTATCTAAACTAAATAAGCCCAGTTCCCTCAGCCTCTCCTCATAAGTCATGTCCCCCAGATCCCTCACCATTTTTGTTGCCCTCCACTGGACTCTCTCCAATTTGTCCATATTCTTTATGTAGTCAGGGGCCCAAAGGCACACAACAAAGCTTTGATTGCCCCATAGTTGCAGCAAAGGCACGCTGTTGGCTCACATTTAGCTTAGTGTCCACTATAACTCCCAGGTCCTTTTCTGCAGAGCTGCTCCCCAGCCAGTCAGCCCCCAACCTGTACTGGTGCATGGGATTGTTCTGTCCTAGGTGCAGGACTTTGCACTTGTCCTTGTTGAACCTCATGAGATTTCTTTTGGCCAAGTCCTCCAATTTGTCTAAGTCACTGTCAATCCTAGCTCTACTCTCCAACATATCTACTGCTCCCCACAGCTTGGTGTCATCTGCAAACTTGCTGAAAGTGCACTCTATGCCATCTTCCAGGTCATTGATGAAGACATAGAACAAAACCAGCTCCAGGACTGACCTCTGAGGCACTCCACTTGATACCGGCTGCCAACTAGACATCAAGCCATTGATTACTACTCTCTGAGCCCAATGCTCCAGCCAGTTTTCTATCCACCTTACAAGTCCATTCATCCAACCTATACTTCCTTAGCTTGCTTGCAAGAATGTTGTGGGAGACTGTATCAAATGCCTTGCTAAAATTAAGGTATATCACATCCACTAGTCTTCTAACATCCACAGAGCCAGTCACCTCCTCATAGAAGGCAATCAGGTTGGTCAGGCATAACTTGCCCTTGGTGAATCCATGCTGACTGTTCCTGATCTTCTTCTTCTCCTCCAAGTGCTTAGGAATGGATTCTTTGGGGATCTGCTTCATGATTTTTCCAAAAACTGAAGTGAGGCTGACAAGTCTGTAGATCCCTGGATCCTCCTTTTTCCCTTTC